TCCTCATGCCTGTGACGGGTAAAGGGTTCTGAGGTAAGTGTGATGATGCACCTCATCGCTGTAGTCCTCAGGAAACTGGAACAAAACCAGGGGATCTGGGAAAAAAAAAGGTGAATAAAACGGACAGGCAAAGAAAGTGAAGAGCAGTGCACATCCTCCATCAAAGAGATCACCGTTTAACCATTGTGCTTATGTCATTTCCTGTGGCTGACTGGGCGTGCATCTGTTCCTGAGTGTGTCTGTTTTTTTTGCACTTGCATCTGAATCTGGACCCCCCCCCCCCTCCACCAACAACAGGCTCTTCCAAGTGTTTGTATTCAGCTTCCATTTCTATGTTTGTCTTTCCTTCAAGGTTCATCATTACTTTCTTCTTGTCACAAAAAAATAAACAGAAGTGAACAACTATATTAAACATTCATCTTCCTCGTGAATACCAGGCTCTCCTGATCACATGGGGATTCAAGTCATGGGCATTTGGTTCAATTCACATGTTAAAAAGTGAAATGTTCAGCCAAGACTCATTGGCTTCTGTCTGCCAAATATGTCACTGGCCCAGATATCCAGGCTTTACTAAGAAACACAGGGCTTGTCCTGATAATTACAGTGGTCCTTTTTTTGACCTTTTTTTCTGACCAGCCGTTGCCAGGAAACAAAGTGTGTGCTGGGTGGGGTCTCAGACTAATAGGCCATGAGGCTGGCAGGGAGGCAGCTAGATGAAAAGCCTCTGTCTCTCTCGCTGTGGTTTGCTGCTTGATCACAAAACAGGAAGCGCCGTTTCTGAGGTCTGCTGGGTAGCAGTGTCGCCGGAACAAGCCGCCTGACTCTCGACTGCTCGCGCATGTCCATGGCCCGGCTCCCTCTCCCTCCAGAGCAGCCGGATCCCTTCCTCGCTTCGGCGGATTCTTGGGGGAAATGGTTTCTAGGCAACCGGGCTGCTGCGCCAGGATTGTCGCTGGCTGATGAGAGAGGCTCTGCTCGCCATCCCTCCGTCACTCCCCCTGTTCCGGCAGCCCTGCTCTCACATCTTTCATCACATCTGACATCCTTCTCCTCCTTCATCTCCACTCATTTTCCAGCTCTCCCTCCTCTGCTCTTCCCTCTGTCATCCCCCTACTCATGATTATCCCTCTCTTCCTGTGCCGGTTAATAAGCTCACTTCAGACGGGCAACTTTTTCTATCTCTAAAAACTTTTACTATGTCTCTTTCCTTATGTGTTACCCATACGCATCCTGCGTTGCTATTAAAATGCACAACTTACATTTCCTGATTAACCCATTTAGTATGATTTCCTTGGCTGAAACAAAAGCCTGATTGTCCTCATCACCTACAGCTTGTTTTTAAACAAAAGTCTGTCTGTGGGCACTTGAGGGTGCTGGATAGTGATGAGTGTCTGTGTGTGTGTGTGTCTGTGTGTGTGTGTGTGTGTCTGTGTGTGTGTGTGTGTGCAGATTAGGTTTATATTACATTGTCCCCACAAAGATCTGTGAATGCAATCAAAAATGTAAAAATCCTAAAAGTTTTCTATTTTGTTTGGTTATTTATGGTTAAGGTTAGGACTGCGTAGGGGTTAAGGGATTATTATGTTGGGATTAGAGTTTTCCCCAAAGAAATAAATGGATAGTCTCTACAGAGATATAATTAGAAACCTGTGTGTGTGTGTGTGTGTGTTTGTGTGTTTGTGTGTCCCAGTACACTCCTATCACACTACTCACCTTTGTCCTTGGCGATGGGACAGGAGGCCTCAAAGAACCAGTTGAAGGTTCTCTCTGGATTTTCTCTGAAAAGTTTCAAGATTCAAAGGTTTTATGGTCATTTTATTACATACAATAAGATTACTGACTTCCCAAGCTGATGTAATCAAACATATTAAGCAAGCAATATATACAAGAGGTCAACAATACACAAAAGTGATATATGAAAACAAACAACAAATCAAGGTAGTCAAAATCATAACGAAATAAATTGCAAACAGGCAGAGGGTGATTCCCCTATTTTACCTGCGTTTCAGACACACACAAACACAATTCTACTGCTTGCCCGTGAGTCCCATTCCAATACAGAGCCAACAGAACTCAGCCCAACAGATTAAATCTTTTACTTTATTGATATCATTACGACAGATGCTTTAAGCAGGTGTATTGTCTTGTGGAGTTTGCTTTTGAGTCCATATAGTTTCACTAGAAAAGGTTGCTTTTATTTATACAGCTGAATTTCATCCAGTATAGCACCTTGGTCAAGAAATAACAGTGAAAATACAGATGCACAGGAAGCGAGCAACTCCTGTCATGAGCTTCCAACAGAGGACTTCAGCAACAGAGGAAATGAGCGGCAGGTCGAGGAGAAGAAGTTTTATGTGGCGAGAGGCTCACACTCACTTTAGCCGGGTGCCCATGGCGAGGCCGCGAGTCCAGATGAGTGGGGGGTCCGTAATCAGGGGGGGGTCATAGCCACAGCGAACCGTGGGTCCTCTCAGAGCCAGAGACTGCACCCCAGGGCATCGACTTCAGAAACACTGCTACTTGATGGCTCACTTCCTGATCTGCACGTTTGAGTGTCAGTGTCGGTGTGAGAGAGTGAGTGTGACGTGTCTTTCTCTCTCAAAATAGGAAGTGTATCCGGCCGTGTCTGTTACCACATTAGTGTAACGCTTCTGTTTTCCAGAGACCCTCTCGTCAGAAGCCAGACATTTAGGAAGTGTTGAGGTGCCCCCCATCTAAGGAGGCCTCGCTCCTGCATCAGGTGGCCAGAACACATTCTTTTCTCCACATACCTTAACTTGCTGTTCTACTGGGCTAAAGTACTATCCGTGCACTCATTTAGCAACTACAACAGTGCTTAAGGGACAGGAGTTTTAGTTCTGCTTTAATTAACTAACAACCAAGAAGTCTATTTTCCTCAGCATGTGCCAACTATGCATATATTAATTAATCTGTGTTTGATATCTATGGAAGGATGGGCAGCTTAAGTAAATATACTTACTTTTCTGGCATTTGTGGACAAGATCAGTGACACATCAGATGTTCTCCTTACATTACAAAGACGCAGGTAAACTGAAGCTCTGTCTTTTCTCTCTCCTCAGGTGGACATTTCACAGCTCGCTACTACAGCCTTTAAAACCACATGGAGGTGAGACTCTCACTGACAGCACACGGAAATAAACATACCCCAGACACAACAACCACCTTGTGTTTCCATGTCTTTATTCAAAAGCCAAATTGCACACATTTTTAATTCAGGTTCATGGTTACTGATAAAATCCTTCCCTTTTTATGTGGGGCAGCAATAAAACATGTGATGTGTTCATGACGATGAGGTGATGTGTTCATGGCGATGAAAAACAAAACAAAGAAACAAACACATTCACTAATGTACCGGTTAAAATGGCTGTGTGTTTCTGGAGGGAACACTAATGACTATATTTCTGTAAGGGACACCATCCGTCATTCAGTGGGGGAGAGCAAGCTAGAGGGAGGGTGGCAGGAAAAATGGATGATGAGGGAGGAGGGAAGAGGAAGGAGCAGGCTTGGCATTTTAGGCAACCTCCTCTTCGCCTTCTTCCTCAAACTCGCCTTCTTCGGCTGTGGCGTCCTGATACTGCTGGTACTCGGACACCAGGTCATTCATGTTGCTCTCAGCCTCTGTGAACTCCATCTCATCCATGCCCTCACCGGTGTACCAGTGCAAGAAGGCCTTGCGGCGGAACATGGCGGTGAACTGCTCGGAGATGCGCTTGAAGAGCTCCTGGATGGCCGTGCTGTTGCCGATGAAGGTGGCGGCCATCTTGAGGCCACGGGGTGGGATGTCACAAACGGCCGTCTTCACGTTGTTGGGGATCCACTCCACAAAGTAGCTGCTGTTCTTGTTCTGCACGTTCAGCATCTGCTCATCCACCTCCTTCATGGACATGCGGCCACGGAAGACTGCGGCCACCGTCAGGTAGCGGCCGTGACGCGGGTCGCAGGCGGCCATCATGTTTTTGGCATCAAACATCTGCTGGGTGAGCTCTGGGACGGACAGGGCGCGGTACTGCTGGCTCCCCCTGCTGGTGAGGGGGGCAAACCCAGGCATGAAGAAGTGAAGACGGGGGAAGGGCACCATGTTGACGGCCAGCTTGCGGAGGTCGGCGTTGAGCTGCCCGGGGAAGCGCAGGCAGGTGGTGACGCCGCTCATGGTGGCCGATACCAGGTGGTTGAGGTCGCCGTAGGTGGGCGTGGTCAGCTTCAGCGTGCGGAAGCAGATGTCGTAGAGCGCCTCGTTGTCGATGCAGTAGGTCTCGTCCGTGTTCTCCACCAGCTGGTGCACGGAGAGCGTGGCGTTGTAGGGTTCCACCACGGTGTCGGAGACCTTGGGGGAGGGCACCACGCTGAAGGTGTTCATGATGCGGTCGGGGTACTCCTCGCGGATCTTGCTGATCAGCAGGGTGCCCATGCCCGAGCCGGTGCCCCCACCCAGGGAGTGGGTGAGCTGGAAGCCCTGCAGGCAGTCACAGCTCTCTGCCTCCTTCCTCACCACGTCCAGCACCGAGTCCACCAGCTCTGCACCCTCTGTGTAGTGGCCCTTGGCCCAGTTGTTCCCAGCTCCACTCTGGCCTGTATCAGCAAGTATAAGCAACAGAGCAGACGAGGTCAATCGATCACAGAGACTGACAACCACTCCAATGAGTAAACAGCATGAAGCTACTGGCAAGGATTAAGGGAAGTGTGAGGTAAGAAAGAGGCACACCCTGTGCAGACACAGATACAGACACCCACACCATGTGCTACCATCCCTGCAGCTATGATCAGACACACCCAGGCTGCATACAGCAAAGATGACCCTAGCTAAGCACAGCAAGCACAGAGAACAACAAACCGAACACGAAGTTGTCAGGTCTGAAGATCTGGCCAAAGGGTCCAGAGCGGACAGAGTCCATGGTCCCTGGCTCCAGGTCCACTAGAATCGCCCGGGGAACATACTTTCCTCCTGGAAAACAGAGATTTGACACATTATCAGCTGTTAAGAACTCACTGTCTAGCCATCCATGACACGCAGTCTTTGTACTCCTGTGTGGACTCTCATCATTCCCAGGATAGTCCAGCTAATCTGTAAGATGGCAGCACCCGCATATCTCAAATCACGGACATAGCTAACAGCGCTCTCATGTCCGTCATGCAGCAGCCTACGCCCATTTCTGCCTTTTCACTACTGTCACGATTAATGGTGGCCCTAGTACCTTACCTGTGGCCTCATTATAGTACACACTGATCCGGTCCAGCTGCAGGTCGCTGTCCCCGTGGTAAGTTCCCGTGGGGTCGATGCCGTGTTCATCACTGATCACCTCCCAAAACTGCAGGGCGAACGGGGGAGGGGGCAACGAGCCAGCGACTTAAATGCAATCCTTCATACTACGACAGCCATTTTAATGCCGCTGTCTGTGCCTTACTTACTATAACAAATCTTTTGCATCGCAAATTAACAAGTGCTGCACGTATTCGTTTATATTTTGTCTGCATCATTTTTGAGAGATGACTTGCAGAGCGTAGAAGGCCAGCCACTCCCCGCTGCCACCCGACTATCCCCCGCGGCAACCAGACCGCAAAGATCGTCGATCATATTACGAAAATAATGCATATTTTTATCATCTTTGTAACCTTAAAAATGAACCATGTTTATGCATCTGTGCTGAAAGCATCGCCGCGAAATACGCAAATATATAAAACGAACCGTTTAAACAAAAAGTAACTAAAAAAAAATAAAATAAAATACACGTGTATAAAACATGATAATATAGACACAATGCAGACAGCTACATAGACGGACAAACAGACAGATGCACAGGCGGGTACTAGTCTCGCGTTGTTCCATTGTTTCCACCGTAGGTGGATTTCCACCATTTTCTACATGAGGATTCTGGAAAATTCTGCGGCTAAATAGTAAACGAACGACTGTTCTTACTAAAGTTCAGAATAACGGCGTAAAAAAACATATCGATTTCATGCATGCACACTAAAGGGCACTGAAATAAAGCGTCTGCACATTGGAGGCAAAGTGATTTAAAAACCCGCAGGTAGCCATGCCAAACCCCATCTGATTTCATCCCTTCCATTCCCTTCCCAGTGCACATCCCCGCTTCACCTTGGCGCCGATCTGGTTGCCGCACTGTCCGGCCTGCAGGTGCACGATCTCGCGCATGGCGACACTTGCGGGTTCGAGGGCGGCTCGCGACGGAGGACTGCAGGGGCGTGCGGCTTCTCGTTTGGGCTGTAGCTCCTTACCCTTTTCGCGGTGCGTGAGACTGCTCGCGCCGCCGCCGCCCAGGCTCCCCTGTGCTGCAGGATGACGTCATCGCCATGGCAACGGAGGACCGTCGAGCAGGTCAGTGGAGGCGGAGCAGATGCTGCTGGATGCTGTCGGTACCCAGAATCCACCGGAAAGGAGGAGTGCCGGTCTGGGTTATTGACTTGTCCATGTATCCCCCGTTACTTTCGGGTATATTACAGAATAACCAATTTTGGGGGAAATAAAAATAAATTGAGGCAGAGGAACCACCTTTATTTCAGCTTGCCTACATTGACTTTGTGAATTTAATCTTTTCTAGGTCTGGGTTTCCAGTGCCAACGATGCCTTTTTGGAAGGTTACAGGATTTTAAGTCATCTGAAATTGATTCTTGCATGAAAGTTTAAATGTTTTACTTCAGAACAAAGAACTCCGCCGTCCATACGCCCATTTCTTAAGATGTCCCCCACAGTGTTCATTTGTAAAGCTACGGTAATTTTTTTACTCCGATTACACCAAATAGGCCTACCTAATATTGAATGAGATCTAAAAGAATTTAGTTCATGCACAGAAGATGTTCTCTATATCAGGAAAAAAAAATTATTCATTGCATGTTCACAAAAAACCGTCTGATGTCTGAAGAATCTTCTTCCGATTCATTTCGGGTGTATAGATTGGGTTGAACAGCAACAGTATTTCCGTGATTTGAAATGAATCAATTAATGACCATACGTACATTTTATCATTTGCGTTCAGATCGCTGAAATGTCATGCCATGTGTATCAACATATATTACAGAAGTACTCATATATTTTGGTATTGTCCAACATAGAGCGTTATCGTGTAATATGCATTTGTGCAATATTTCATTTTACTGCATGGGAAAAGGATCCCTGCAGTTTTCATAATTACCGCGTGACCCCATGTCCGCATTTCCACAGTGGTAATGCGTCCCTGAAAGTGGTAAAGTTTTGTAGGGTTGAAAGAGGCACGCAAAACAGTAAAAGTGGTAAAGTGAATATCTAATACTGTTTCAGCTGCTTGTAATGTTAATTCATTTTTCATTTTGTTTCGAGGACGCAATGTTCTCGGCTCCGATTTTATCTTTTCAGTTCACTCATTTCCAGACGGAAATCGGCTCTTCGTCCGACGTTTCCGTGTCGTGTATCCTGCGTACTTTCACAAGACATCGTCCAAACGATATTTGCATAAATGTAAACGGGCATGCAGCCAAATATGGATGAAAATTGTACTAATTTTATTGGAAAAAGTTGGCCCTTGACGCCGATG